CTTATCACAAAGCATAGCTGTTTAGCTGTTCGCAAGAAACAAGCTACTGACCATATCCAACCAGCCCACACAAGCAAAACCTGTAACACAGTGTCAACACTTGATGTGATTACATAACTGGACAGCATTTGCTGGATGATCCTGAGTGTGAATTCTGTAGAGAGCCAATTTAGGATTGAAAGTTAGTTTGCAGACTGGTATACCTGCATGTACTGGAACCCACCTGCATTGACACACAGATCAATGCTCTTTGCAGACCGAAACACAACAAAAATGTTGACATCCATTAGCTATTCATTTCTCAGGGCAATTCCTTGACTAATCAGTGTTAACCTGGCTGCTTTAAAATTTAAACAAGGCCTGTCACTCATCATTAGCTGGTGCATTATCCATTCCGACATTGCTATCAACCAGAGCCCACCTGCCAATCAATCAGCTGTCTCTGTTTGTACAGTATAGTTGTTGATTCTCTTTTAAATTAATAAACTACCTTGCAAGAATAAGAAACTTTAGTGATGAGGATAGATTGAAGAAGTTAGGACTCTTCTCCTTGGAGAGGAGAAGGCTGAGATGGGATATGATAGAGATACTCAAAATAATGAGTGGTTTGAAAGAATAGATAGGGAGAAGCTGTTCCCGCACATAAAAGAGAAAAGAATGAGAGGGCATAGATTTAAAGTGATGTGCAAGCAAAGCAAAAGTGATATGAGACCGTCTTTTTCACACTGTGTGTAGGGGTATGGATGCATTGGCAGGAAATGTGGTGGATGCCGGTTTAATTGAGGCATTGAAGAGGGCATTGATGATTATTACCTGCCCAATACAAAATGAGATGGAACAGCACTAGCCCCATCTGCCTAGGTGTATAAGAGCAGGATTGGGTACTTTCAGAGCACTTAAACTGTCTGGGAAGACGTGGTGGTATTTTATTGTGCCCAGATTGGCACTAGATAGTAGAACTTGTGCAGGCACAGTGGATCAAATGGCCTCCTCCTACATTGTAATGTTTGTGTGCCCCAGTGTAAGGGTGTTTCAGTCACAGCTAATCTAGCTGGAAGACTCATGAAGCGAGAACAGACCTGAGTGCTGTGTTTGAGGAAGATTGAGTACTGAAGAGTTATACCTATCTCTGCCATGCTTGTGTGAGATTATTGAAGGACTCGGCTTCCGAGTGTGAAACAACTGCCTTTGAAAGTCTCGGTGATCACTCTGTCCCATGCCCTGCTGTTCATAGGGGAATGGTCCATCTTGTGTTCAGGAGGATCTTGACAATGACTCCTACATTTTATGGTCTGTGGTACCATATACACACGCAATCGTGTGTCAATTGTCTAATGTGTCGGTATTTTCACAGCCAGTAACGTTCTTGCCTCTGAGTCTTCATTTGCTACTCCAGTACAAATCCAGACAAAAGCTCCAGTGCAGTGCTGAGGAAGTGCTTGCATTGTGAGGATGCTGAATTACAAATAAGATCTTAACAAATGTTAGCTGTGTCACCAGAACATTTTGAAAGAGGGTGCGGCAATTCTCCCTGGTGTTGGAGCTCCTGTTCATCCTCGAAAGCATCAGTGAAACAGATTGTCTGACGTTGCAGTCTGTGGGAGATTGCTATGCACATTTGGCTACTGTGTTTCCTACATGGAAACAGTGACTGCCTTTTTGAAAGCATGCCATTGGCTGTTAAGCATTTTGGAATTTCCTGAGGTTGTGAAAGAAAGGCGCTATTTAAATGCGTTATTGACTGCTTAGTTTTGTATCATTTTTTGGAGGTAGGTTAATTCTGGAACTTGTCAGTTTCGAGGTGATGCACCTCATGATGAAAGACTGGAATTGAGCTGTGGCAGACTATCACGCATCAGGTATTGGAACTATAGCAAGGGGTACAGTGTGTTTTTCATCATTGGCTGCTAGATCACAGTCCTGGCCCCTGCTCCAAATACCACTGAAAGCCAGTCGTGTTCCTGGCTGACAAAACAGATGACGTATTCATTGGATCTGTTTGAATGGGGAGAGTGCATTCCACATTCCACTGGGGAAATGCTGTGGTGTCACGGTGATATCACTGAGCTGGCCATAGTCTGATGACATGATTTTGAGTTCAAATTTTAAAAAATTCTGGACTGAACAAGAAAAGCTTGTCTAATGTTGGCTTTGTAACCACTGTAAATGGTTTTCTTTTCTAAACAAAAAATCTGGTTCATAATGTCCTTTTAGGGAGGGAAATCTGCCATCCTTACCCAGTCTGGCCTACGCGTGACTCCAGCCCCACAGCAATGTTGTTGACTCTTAACTGCCTTGTGGGCAGTTGGGGATGAGCAATAAATGCTGGCCTAGCCAGCGTTGTGCACATCCCATCAACGATTAAAAACAACTTAAGGCAAAAGGAAGTCACCAGGAAGAACTCCAGATACTGCTGAAGAAAACCTTAGAATGCTGTGAAAGTTTCTGCAATGGGGAAACTCCAGGTAACTGAAGGGCCAAGACACATATTCCCCACGTGGCATGGCTGTACTTTAAATCAAATAGTTTTTCCAGTTATGTGACAAGAGATGTAGCCATTTAACAGAATAGTGGGGGGCGTGGGGGGCGGGGTGCAGGGGAAGAAGTCCTGACCTCAACAGTCTCTCGCCACACTGTACAAAGGCTGATTGTTCAGACTGGCTGGGAAATACGGAGTGTTGCTGGAAGCTCAGTAGTTGTTTATTTATTATGCTACTGTACTGGCAGCTATCTAACAGAATCACTCTGGCTGCTTTTCCACTTTATACATTAATGAGGTGCTGACCCAAGACTGCCTCAAGGGCTTGAAATGCTGCTTTGTGTATATGTTATATCCCTCCCCGTGTTGTTTTAATTTATACATTGCTGCCTCATTGCTGCACCAGAGCTAGAGCATGCGGCAATTTGTCTGCATTATAGCAAAACAACTCAATCATACATTGTGTCAAGGCAGAAATGGAATGAAATTGTGCCTCTGGCTTTTACTGACAATCCTCCAGATCTGAACTGATGATTTTGCAATGATGTTAACAGTTTTACGACATCAGTTTGAACGACAAAAATAAATTGCCAAACGATTGCTGCAATTTACCTATCATTTAAACACCTCCTGCTTTATAGGTAAATTACATCAAATTCAGACACTGCAGTGAAGAAATTAATAAGGTTTACGTAAAATGCAATGTTGACTCTTGAATATTTCATTCATAGTGACAGGGAGGAGAACTGGGTTGTGAGATTTGGCTGCCTTGTTTGGTTCCCTTGATGAAATCGGTTTTTGCAGCTTGTGTCAATGGAGCTGGATTCTAGATGGGTATATGAATAGGAAGTGTTTAGAGGGATATGGACCAAATGCTGGCAAATGGGCCTAGATTAATTTAGGATATCTGGTCAGCATGGACGAGTTAGACTGAAAGGTCTGTTTCCATGCTATACAACTGTATAACTATGACTCTCTGCTGATTAATATTTTTATTTCTGACAAAGGAATGTACTTAAAAAGTATTTAAGGCCACAGTCAGATCAGCAATGATCTTAATGAATGAGGAAGCAGGCTTGATGGAGCCAAGTGGCCTATTCCTACTCCTAATTCATATGATCATATCTGATATTTTCCAACCTGCCCTTGGTTCTGCATTCCTGTGTCTGAGAGGCCTGTTCCTAAGCCTCCTACCAACAGCCCTGGCCCAGTTAGTGTCATTCCCGCCTCTGAGTCAGGCTACTGTGGCTTGAAGGCCCACACTGGGCTGCCACTGCAGGTCAGCTTTCTTGGAGATACTGTCTCTCAGATGAAATATTAAACCGAGGCCCCACCTGCTTTCTCAGCTTGATGTAAATGAATGTGTCACATTGGTTTGAAGTAGAGCTGGGGAGTTGTCTATCGGTTAGCCCTTCACCAACACTGAACACAGATGACCTGGGTCATTCACACATTGCTGTGTGTGTGAGCTTGCTCAGTGCAAATTAGCTGCTGTGTTCCCTCCCCTACTATACTTCAAAAGTACTTCATTGACTGCAAAGTACCTTGGGCTATGTTGAGGATGTGGAAGGCACTATGTAAATGCATCTTCTATCTTGCTTGAGATTTTCCACTTGGAGCCACTCATGATCAGACTGAAACTAAATGCGAGATCAGAACTGGCGTAGCAGCACACTGTGCGCATTAGGTAGAGTTGGGGAATGGGACTGATTGGTTTACTGTTCAGAGAACCAGCTTGATCCTGAAGGGACGTGGCTTCTTCTTGTTCTGTAATGACTCCCATTTTGATGCTCCATTGTTGTGGCTTGTATTTCACACACAAGAATTATTGTGCCCCACAGAGTCTGACCTGACAATGCCTGAGTCCGTGATTATAGATACGCTGGTGGCTGTAACAGAGTGATTGGCCATACTGCACTGTCGGTTGCTGCATGGAGAAGTCCCTGTTGAAGAACTGTTCTGAATCCAAACCTTGTTCAACTTTTTATTATCACTGCCTGGTGGTTCGCCTGGGCTCGGTACCAGTGGTTGCAACCAGGAGAATGATGAATAACTACCCTGGCAACCCAATTCAATCTTAAGCAGGCCAAACAAGCACTAAACTAGGCTACCAAAATGCAGAAGGCACAGACTGACTGACATCCCAGTGCTTGCATGTTTTTCATTGTCCAACAAAAGGCTAAAAGGGGAGGAGATCATAAAACAAAATGGTATTATTAAAATTAAAAGATAGATTTTGACAATCTGACAATAAAATATAGAAATACTCATGTGGCTCACTTGTCAACTGAAGTGGAAAATTGAGACTAACAGCTTAGGTTTTCTGTCAGGTCGAATGGAAGGTAAGCAACTCACCATTTTCTGAAGAAGGGTCTAGGCCCGAAACGTCAGCTTTCCTGCTCCTCTGATGCTGCTTGGCCTGCTGTGTTCATCCAGCTCTACACCGTGTTATCTCAGATTCTCCAGCATCTGCAGTTCCTACTATCTCTCACCATTTTCTTCCTTTTTTTTGTTTCGTCAGCTGTGCGCTGCTCACTTGACGACCCCATCGGAAGCTCCAAACCATTACCAGGCAGTGTGCCGGGCCCTGTTTGCTGAATCCATGGAGTTACGCACCTTCTTGGCCAAAATTAAAAGTGCGAAAGAGGTAAGAGGTCACCTAAGGTTAGCCAACATGAGGTGGGATCAGAGTGCTCTGGAAACTCCACTTCTGAATTTCCGGCCATTTTGCTTTTTTTTAAATAGAATCCCCAGGAGATAGGCTGCGTCACCCTGACACATTTTAGAAATAAAAGCAGAAAATGCAAGAAGCATTTGACAGCATCTGTTAATGTTTCAGGTTTGTGCCTTTTCACCAGTGGCTGATGTCTGGTGAAAGATCCTTGAGCTGTTTCTCATTCCCATCCTCCCAAACAGTGCAGTGTATACTTACACCACACGCACTGCAACGGTTCAAGAATGTGCCACTCCACCACCCTCATAAAGGCATTTTTGGAGTGGGCAACAGATGTTGGCAAATGCCAGCGATGCCCACATCCTAGAAAGGAATTAAAAAAAAAGAAGCCGGCATTTCTGTTTTTACTTCACGTTTCCAGGATCCGTAGGGTTTTGCTTGTGGTATGAGCTATTATTGTGTTTTACTCCACTTGCTTGCCTCCCTGGCTCTTTTCTCCCCGTGGCCCATTCCTTAATTCCAGGGTACATTCAGAGTATAAGTTAACTCAGAAACTGTATTGATGTGTATGACGTAGAAATGCGCACAATGGAGGCAAACTGTTCAGCCAAATGTGTCCTTTTAATTTTCTTATACTCAACATGAACACTAGCCCTAATCCCACCTGTCTACTCTGTCTTCTTCAACTATTTCTCTAATTTATTCTTAAACATTGTCACATTGTGTAAATTTGAGCTTGTCCAAAATACTGTTGCCCCATATCTGAACTGGCACTACCCCCAGTTCAACATTACCCACTTTCACTGACTTGTATTGATCGCCAGTGAGACAACATCTCCATTTAAGTTCTCTTAACCGTGTGTTTAAAGCTTTCTGTGACCTTTTCTTATCTCTCCTCAAGTCCTACAATCATGGCTTCTCCATGAAATAACTCTCCAGAGGCCTGTGTCCTGTCACCAAATCACTCTTTATTTACACAGGGAAAGCCCTTGACACTGATCCAGCTCTGTCAGAGCCAGCTCTCAGAGTGAATAGAACCCCTGACACTCCTGGTTATATCTGTCAGCCAGGTCTCCCTGGTTGGACTAGATTAATAGCCCCAGTCAGGGAGCTCTTATTCTATGAGGTCCACCTGACTGACCTTGTTACAATCACTACACTCCACTCTCCTCTGAATTTGGCCTCTGATCAAACTCTGTTTCCTTCACTCCCCCACTGGTGGTTATGACTGGATTAGCTACCTGGGAGCCAAGCTCTGAGCTTTGCTCTGTAAACCTCTTCACCTCTCCAGCAGTTAATTCTCCGCACCGCCCTCTGCCCCTCACTGCACAGCCCATTTCTCCTTCCTGTCCGCTGGTGTTGTAATTAAACAGGAGTGAATACATTTCCTTTTGTTTGGCATGGAGGCAGAGTGATAAGGGTCATAGATTCTGACATTTATGTCTGATTCTGCCAACTGTACATGATGTGATAACAAAATAACGCAGATGCTGGAGAATTGAAGTGGCAAGAGGGTGAGCCAGGGTCGAGGATGTTTGGCAAAGAGTGGCTTAAGGACAGGGAGAGATCGCAAGTTGAAGACTTAGAGAGTGGGAGTGACTATTTCAAAATTATGCCAAACAGTTAAGACCATAAGACGCAAGGGCAGAAGTAGACCATTCGGCCTCTCGAGTCTACTCCACAATTCAATAAGACCTTGGCTGTTCTGATAATCCTCAGCTTCACTTTTCTGCCATATCCCCACAAACCTCCTTCCCCAGCCTCACAGTTCCCCACTGATCCATTGATGTCTAGCCCTTGAGAGTCCCAGTGGCTCCAGAACTCCATAGTGGGCACTTTTGGAACTGCAGGCCAACCACATTCAACTTCAATGGGTCCCAGAGAGAGACAAGTCCTTTGTCTTAGGGAGTAGTGGAGCTGGGAAGCCTTGGTAGGTATGTGAGCCAGGAGGATTGGACTTGGAGGCCAGACAACGAGGAGCGAAGGACGTTTAGTGGGTTAAGGGATGCTGTGCCCCAACAACCTTTTCTTTCCACCTTTACAAAAAAATGTTCAATTGGCCATTAATAATTTTATCAAAAGCGTTCTGATCTCTGGATTATGTATCATGGGGAATGGAACATATTGTATGCCTAGGTATGGGTTGATATGTGTTTTGTTTTTGAAACTTTCAAGGCCAGGTCAAGTTTCTTCTATGCAGAATTCAGAGATTAAGGGTGGCTTGCAAATGTGTTGTAGAGTAGACAATGGCACTACAGTCATCCGCAAACTGTAGATCACATATGTCTGTGGTGGTCACTTTAGTTTTGACCAGAAGATATTTAATGCTGACAGCAGAGGGCAGTTGATGTTTGTTTTTGCTTCTGCGTTAGCTGTGTCAGCATCACAGATTAATATATAGATTCAGCCAACAATCATTTGGGTAACACAAGACAACGGCCAGCTCAGATGGTCGTCCTGGAAATAAGTAAAAATGGAAATAATTGGAAGATTTGTCTTTCAAGGGATGAAGCTGTGACTATTTTCCTTTGGCAGCTTGCTACATTGTGGGATTGTCCTTGGGGAGAAAGGTTATTGAAACATTGCCTTTGAAACAAATGGATTCTCTAGTTTGTTCACTTTATTCTTTGTCATCGCTGGAGGAAACCAGGTTCTTGTTTCTTTCAATTCCCACCAATCCACTCCGCATTTTATCTAATGTGGTCTTTTAGCCCAATGAGGCTACTATGCCATTCGGCACGATCATAGCTGATTGAATAGTTCAATGCCTTTTTCTCCACACTATCCCCATATTCCTTCATGTTGTTGGTATTCAGAAACTGTCAATTTCTAAACATCTCTACTTGAAACATACACAATGACTGAGCTTCAGCAGTTTTCTGGGGTTGAAAATTCCAAAGATTTACAATTTGCTGAGTAAAACAATTTCTCATCTTGGTCCTAAATGGCTTTCCCATAATTTTGAAATTGCAGAATCACAGAATGTTACAGTGTAGAATGAGGCCATTATTTTGCCCATCTTACCTGCACCAGTTTTATTACCTCATGCCAATCTCCTGCCTTTTTCTCATATCCCTGCGCATCATTTCTATCTGAGTAATCATGCAATGCCCTCCTGAATGCCTCCATTGAACATTCCTCCATCGCATTTCCAGACAGTGCATTCCATACCCTAACAACTCGCTGTGTGGAAAGGTTTCTTTGCATCGCCCTGTGCTTCATTTGCACTTTAAATCTTTACCCTCTTGTTTTTTTTCTCTTTATCTACTCTGTCCAGTCTGCTCGTGATTTTGAATTAAGCCCCCAGTTCTAGACTCTACAATCAGGGAAAGCATACGACATGCAAAGTTCTGGCAGTGCATCCAAAATCCAGATGACAGAGCCAATTCCATGGACATTAGACTCACTGTCAACTTTTCCTTCCCATTAGATGTGTGGAGCCTGAAGACTAGCATAGACCAGTTGGACTGAATGGCCCGTTTCTATGCTGTAAATAGTAAACTTTACTACTCATCATTTCACTTGACTGACTCCCTGAGGAGAGTTTTTAAAAAAACAGAATGAACATCATTGCAAAAGTTTGTGGCCTTTCTTGCTATGCTTTTACTTGCAGGCAGTGATTGACTGGGAAAGTAGCGAGATCTAACTCTCATTCTGCTTGACAGTGTTTCTGTTGTGATCTTATCTGGTGCCATTTCTCAATGCTGTCCAGTCTTACTCAGGTCACACGGAAAGGCCGTTCACAGGCTCGGTTATTTGTTCCAATCAGCGATTGTGCATGGCAGGCAGAACAGAAATAATAGCATCCTTCATCAGGAGCAGCCAGCAGTTCACAGACTGTGCTGAGTCACTTGGTCTCAGGCAGAGCAACAGCAAAGGTTTACAATTGATCACCTTTGGAAAAAGTTGGAAATCAGTCACTGTCCAATTGTTAGACAGTGTCACCTGCTGGAAGTATGTGTCTGTACCTCAGAGAGCTGTGAGGACTCAGTCTTTGAGTATGTTTCAAGTGGAAATTGGTCAATTTTGGATTACCCTGGTGTATAGAGTTGTGGGATGAAGTGAGTAAAAGGCATTGTAGTATTCGTTCAGCCATGATCATTTTGAATGGTGGAGCAGGCTTGATGGGTTGAATGGCCTACTCCTGCTCCTATGTTCCTCTGTGGATATAGTTGTGACTTTATCTACAGCCTTACTGTCAATATTAATGCATATTGAATGCCATTTTGGGTGACGTATCTCAGTAAAAGTTAAACATTTTAAAGAAGCTGGGAAGAAAATGGGCAAAAGAAATTAACTTGGCTAAACCGTCTCCATTTCTTGGCACAATGAAATTGATATATTGGATTGCAGTGCAAGAGGATTTGTATTTAGGGGTAAGAGGTCCTACTGTAGTTATACAGATCCTTGGTGAAAACGCACCTGGAGTATCCTGTGCAGACTTTCTGTCCCTACCTAAGAAGGGATAGACTTGTTATAGAGGGAGTGCACTGGAGGTTCCCTAGGCTGGTACCAGGAAATGGTAATGAGAAGAGATTGATTCGACTGGGCCCGCGTTCAGAAGAATGAAAGGGGATCTGATTGAAATGTATACTGTTCCAAGAGGGCTGGACAGGCTAGGGGCAGGGAGGATGTTTTCCCTGGTTGGGGAGTCTTGAACCAAGGGTCACAGTCTCAGGATATGGGGTTTAGCCATTTAGAAGTGCAATCGGGATATATTTCATCTTTCAATAGGTAGTCAACCAGTGGAATTCTCTACCCCAGAAGGCTGTGGAGTTTACATCACTGAATATCTTCAGGAAAGTTTTTTTTTAGATTTTGAGGTGTGAAGGGTATGGGGTGAAAGTGGGAATATGGCATTGAAGTAGGGGATCAGGTTGAATTGTGGAGCAGGTTCAAAGGACCAAACTGCCTATTCCTGCTTCTGTTTTCAGTGTTTTTATGAAATGGGTTATGATTGACTAATTCGGTAATTGTCTTATAGAGTTAGCATAGGCATAATGGGCTGAATGCCCACCTCCTGTGTTCGACATCGTATGGTACACTGTCTTAACATGTTGTATGATTGATTGATTGACAGAATCTGAAGAAACTGCTGGATAATAAGGGCGAAAGCAGTCAACCTAACATGGAACTTAATGAGCTCAATAACTTTGACTGGGTAAGATGCTGCTTATTTGGCTGATTAACAGTCCTGTTTTTATTCATAATTTTAATTTAACAAATTTTGTGCTGTACAGTTATCTGTAAAGTTCTTATATTGGTGGTACTTTACAGTGCTGAAGCATTTCTCATGTATATGGTCGAATTATGGTAACCATGTTTGACAGAAATCATTAAGACCCTCTCCCCTCACTGCACCTTGATACCAGTTGCCTGCAACAGGATATATACATACAACAGAATGGGCAGATAGGAAGCACACGTTACTTAACACAGAAGTGGCAGATGCAATAGGGAGAGACTTGGAACTATATCACCATTTCTTCGATGTTGTTGGTTTAAAATCCTGAAACTCCCTAACAGCATTCCGGGGTCTATCTACACCACATGTAATCTTGTGATTTAAAAACGCAAAGGCAATTAGGGATAGACAATAAGTGCTGGTCTTGCCTTGCATCTTAATAAAAAAAATACTTTGTAGATTCTATCCACACTAGCGTGGTCTGAAGTGTTTGTGGGGACGGATGTAATTGGGGTCATACGCATAGATCTCTGAAGGTGGCAGGATATATCTATAGAAAGAGATTTGTGAATATTGAGTACAAAAGCAGGGAAGTTAAGTTTAACTTGTGTAAAACTCTGTTTAGGTCACAACTACAGTACTGCACCCAATTCCAGTTGGCACACCTTAGGACGGAAGTGAGGGCCCCTGAGAGGTACAGAGGAGATTCACCAGAATGGTCCCAGGGATAAGGGTCTTCAATTACAACATTTGGTTGGAGAAGCATGCTTCATCATTGGAGAAGAGGGGCTAGAAACAAGATCATGGCAGATTTTCAAAAAGACAAGGAAAGCTGTTCCCCTTAGCTGATAGCTTAAGGAACTTGGGGGTTGAGGGGGTTTCTGCCTGTGATTTAAAGTGTCATAAAAGAGTGACATTTGAGATTTGTTCTGAGATGTGAGGATTATCTATTTTACACAGTGAGTGCCTACTGCCAACAAGGGAAGACACAATAATGGTTTCATAAGTAAATTGGTTCGGTATCGAGGGATTTAAACTTCCAAGACTATGGGCATTGTGACTAAATAGATTGTTCTACAGAGATCCAGCTTGGATTTGATAGGCTGAATGGCCTCCTGCTGAATTGTTTTAACTGTGTGGATGGTATTTACTCCATGTGCACGGACTTACCT